CATAGGGAGATCCAGCAGAAGATGGAGGAGGCGAGGAGGACACGGGATCTGGCCCTGGAGCGAATGGAGAAGGCAGTTCGCAGGTTTAAGCAAGAGGTAATTTGGGGGAAAGTGCGAGTGGGGGGAAAGGATTGTATTTTGGGTAACCAAAGAAAGGGGAGAGTGCTGATCAATCCCTCTTTGAATGGTGGTCAGGGCATATGCACTTCTTGGATCATTACTAATTTTTTTGAGGGTTACCACCCTCTGTTGTCACAAAAATACCTTCTATAAAGACAGGGTAAAGGAAGTATTTCTTAATACAGACCTGTTGAGGGAATCCTGAGGATAAAAGATGGATCAGAGTTTAGAACCCTCTGAATCAGATCACCACCCCAGACCTCCCTATGCCCTTTTCTCTTCATCCGTCCCTACTGCCAAGCCTTTCCTCTCCCATCCTCCTCACTTCTGCCCATCCATAGGGACCTGTCTGCCCCATCGTCCTCATCAAAGCACAAGGAGGGGAAGCTCCAACATCTGCATGTCTGTGACCAAAAGCCATTTCCTCCTGCCCATGACCAGGTAAAGAAACACCTGGATTTTAGGAGGACAGATCCTTGGATTTGGGATTTGTCTTAAACTCAGAATAAATACGTACTGCTAGTCTTTTCTTGGGGAGGAGGTTGCAAACAGCCCATACGCGCTTTTTTTTCCCATGTTAATGATAAATTTTGTAAAACTTCAGCTAGTTGAACTGCTGTTCACCACATTGTCTATGAGTCAGAAGAGGGGTTAAGGCTTGCAGGAGAGTAAACAGAGACAGGTCAAACCTCTCTTACAGGTTCATGCAACGCTCCAGTCAAGAAGCCTGTTTTGGTTCTGTTGTTACGAACTAAGACTCAGCAAATTCCTCGTCAGCAAATTCCCCACTGCAGCACACGCAGTGCTGTGTGGGAGGTCTGTATTTCTACAGGGAACGTCTCGTAAAATTCTCTGTTCAAGGTCGTTGCTGGGCAGATGACAAAACTGGGTATTTGCAGCCTCAACACCAACCTCTTCTGTCATTTTCTTCCCTCTGCACCTAATTTCCTACCCTTTGCAGAACCCAGGCACCCAGACTGCACATGTCCTCTCACTGACAATGGTGGAGCTGGTGGAGAAGCTGAAGGAGGGGTCCCTATCCCCAGAAAGTGTCCTCTACTCCTACATGGGCAAAGTGAGTGGTACTTCTAGCATAGGAGAGATGCTGCGGGGCTCCTCTGCAGTGAGGGCTCTCAAATTAAAAACCAGCTCCTTTGCTGAGAGACCCGGCAATGCTGGGGATTAAAGTTTGTCAATACTGTGGTGTCTGAAGGGTGGCTTATGGGCAAATAAGCAGGACAGAGACCCAGCAAGAAACATCTAAAGCTTATAGGTAAGGTCTGAATAACGAGTGCTGGATGTTTAAGATGATTGAATTTTCAGCTTGAAAACTGTTTAAATACTGTTTCCTTCTTTCGGTTCATTCATCTGACTTGCTACTCTTCTCTGTTCTGGAGAGGCTTTGGAGGTGACTCAGGAAGTGAACTGTGTGATAGACTTCATTCATGGCTGTGAGGATCAGCTCCAGAAACTGAAGAAGCAGAAGGAGAAAGGGCTGCTCTATGGCATTCCCATCAGCATCAAGGACCACATTGACTGCAAGGTACATCCCTAATTCTCCTGCCTCTTGGCCTGGGGCTCAGAACAGGCCAGGGTGTCCCATCCTCATCAGGACTGGCTGAGAGTTCCCTCAGAAAATGATGTTCTGGACCAAATACTGTGGGACCAGCAAACTTGCCTTTTTTCTCACAAAAGTTTTGTTTTCTGCTGAAATTTCTAACCTGCTCTGATCTGGTTTTCCCTGGGGTAGCCAGCTCTTGTTCTGCCTGTGAGAAAAGTTAGGTGGGAACTTTGTCACAGGAGGCATCAGGACTTATGTCTGTTATTGTCACAGCTCCAAACAGCATCTTTCTTGGTGCCTAAAGAGCTTTGCTTCCCATCCCCAAGGGCCACGTCTCCTCTGGAGGGATGGTGAAGTTTCTGGGCCAAGTGAAGGAAGAAGACAGCGTCATTGTCCAGGTTCTAAAGAGCCAGGGGGCAATCCCCTTCGTGAAAACCAACATCCCACAGACGATGATAAAGTAATCGGCTGTTTGCCTTTGTGAAAACGCTATTTCGTGTGATTCTTGCTATTTGAGAGAGGGTGGGCCTGCATGCACAAGCTCCCACCCTTGTCCAAGCTGATCATGCGGGTTGAGTTAATTGCCTCCTCATTTCAATCTGAAATTATTTTTCTTATATTTGATGCCTCTTTCGTCTTAAATTCAGCTGTCCCAACAAATCTACTTCATGCTGATTCTACCTGCTGGGATTAATTCCACAATCATCCGTGCACGGATGCTCTGTGCCTTGTGTTTATGGTTCCTAGAGACAGAAGTACGTCACTCACATGCTGATCTTCTTCTCCCCAGCTATGACTGCAGCAACCTCATCTTCGGCCAGACGCTGAACCCTCTCAACCACCAGAAGAGCCCTGGAGGCTCCTCAGGAGGGGAGGGAGCTCTGATCGCAGGAGGAGGCTCCATCCTGGGCATCGGCTCAGATGTAGCTGGCAGCATCCGCCTGCCATCCAGCTTCTGCGGGTTGTGCGGGCTCAAACCCACAGGCAACAGGATCAGGTACATCCCGACATCTGTCCTCTTCTTCCACCCACTGTGGAGACTGCAAAGTGTCCCCCACAGCCTATCAAACTTTGCAATAGTGTCCATGGTTTCCTCCAGGTTTGAGTTAGCACCCTAAATGACATGTGATGACCTCCATCTGTTAACACAGGAAAGACTTACTCAATTTTTAAGAGCCTTGGCCAGGAAGCTGAAAGCAAATATACAGGGCCATCTCATTTGCAGATGTTTTCCAGCCCTTGCTTTGCATGTAAGAGTTTTCTGCTTATCAGAGGTGGTTTGCTCACAGTTGAAGAATTAGATGCACCAGGGAAAGATGATAAAAACTGTCTCTAGCCCCTAGAAGCTTACAGACCATGGTAGTCTTCCTAGCCTAGAAAGCATCAAGTCTTTGCAGGACCTTTTGCCCTCCTAAATGTTGACTAGGGGCAAATGGGAAGTCTGTCGCTCAGCATGGTGACCTGCCTTACAGTGAGAGCTGCTGCTAATCTGCTTCTCCCGTTGTGTTCCTAGTAAACTGGGAGTGGTTTCTCCTATCACAGGAATGAAATCAGGTAAGTTCATCCAGGTGATGTGTTACTACTGTCAAACCTTTGCTTCTTACATCTCTTCCTACTGCTGAAATGCCAGCAAATGTGCTTGCTCAGTTATGTGTCTCATGGCCAGTCAAAACCAATGATCTGTTAGACCAGGACCTGCCTTGTGCTATCACCTTTTTGCACCATTAATTCTGTTCTGGATGGTGGTAGGCGTTAGCTGAATCTGAGCAGAATCGAAGCAACGCGCATTCAGGCAACGCAATGCGTAGCGGTGAGAAATATGAGATGTGCATCCCAAAGGCCTGGGCTATTTTGCTGGAGATGCTTCCAGGAAATGCTGTTGGCTTCACCTGCTGCCAGCTGGCATCGCTGTTGGCAGGAAGGCTGCAGTCCTCACTCCTCTTGCGCGGGCACTGTGCCTGCAGAAGCCTGGTCATCTCTGCTCAGTAGGTCGCCTCTGCTCTGAGACTTACAGGCCATCCCTGCTGACCTCCTTGCTCTTTTCTTGCCCATTTCACTCGTTCCCCATTTCCCTTCCCTGGCTTGACTGAAACTCTTCCATGCTGGACCCCTACCAGTAACTTACCATAAGACAGCACAGCAGTGACAGAACCTCTGTGTTTGCAGTGACAGCGGTGCTGGGGCCAATGGCAAGAGATGTGGACAGCCTGGCCCTCTGCATGAAGGCACTGCTCTGCCAGGAGATGTTCCGGCTGGACCCCACTGTGCCCCCCCTCCCCTTTGACGAGGAGGTAAGGCTCGGAGGCAGTCCCTGCCTCCGTTTGCCCGGCAGCAAAGTGAGATCTTGGGAGATTCCTGTCTGGTTTCATGTCTCAAGATAGTGAAGGACTCAGGGGAGTGAGTGTCCTCCTGAACGGAGCTGATTTCTCCTGATCAGAGGAATTCACCCCTCACTCCTTTAATTAGAGAGCCCGATTTAACAGTCCCTGACCTAAGAAATCATTGCCCTTTGCAGTTAGTTCCCCGCTTCTGCCATCTGATCGTGTCTTTCTGACTCAGGTCCTAGCACCCTAGGATCTTTCAGTTGTCCCTGACACCCAGACAACACAGACCAGTCGCGTACACTAGAGGAGCAGCCCCTGAACTCCATCTGTAGCCAGCCGCTCCAGGCACGTGGTCTGCACAGGTGCTATCACACCTGCTATCTCAAAGCTGGGACATGCTCATATGGCAGGAGATGGTGTCAGAAAGGCCATATCGAGGACCACGGCTGCAGACCTATGTTCTGGACAATACTGCTTTCCACTGTTGCTATTGTTCCCGTTGTTCCTCCAACCCAGGAGACCTCAGTTGCTGCCTCTCTGAGCCCTGGGAATGGTCCAATATTGTTTATCTCGTGTGCAAGTGATGGCTCCTCTTCTCACAGGTTTACACCAGTTCAAAGCCACTTCGGATTGGGTATTATGAAGGAGACGGCTACTTCCAGCCCTCACCCAGCATGAAACGGGCCATCCAGCAGACCAGAAAGCTCCTCCAGGATGCAGGGCATACGGTGAGTTTTCATGCCTGTGGTTGCTTGGAGCCATTGTCCTGCTCCTTACAGAGTTTGGACAAGTCACTTCCCATCTCTGCTTTTGCTGCCTGTAAAACAGGGACCATCCCTCCCTACTGCAAGGATTCTGAAGAGGAAGCCACATACAGCAGTTTGTTTCCCAAACCAAAGCGATCTTGCTTATATTGCTGGCCTAGCAGACCAGAGAATCAGATATCTCCAAGTCACCCTTTTCTAAAGCAGTGTTTTTCCGTCATGCTTGGTGTTCCCATAAATATCAAACTCACAGCAGTTTCCACTATCTCTCAGCTGTTAAACAGATTTCTTGGTGGGTAAGTGGGAAGAGGGTTGGAGCAGTTGACCTCCAGGGACCTTTTCTAGTCTAAATTATTCTTGGTTCCACCAATGGGAATTTCTATATGGCAGTTGTTCTGGTGATGCAAATTAATTAAAAATACTTGGTGTTTTGAAGCCTTGAAAAATTATTCTCTAATGCGCGGAGGAGTGGAGCCTGTGCCAGGTCACAATTTGTGTTAATGCCTTGGAGACAGGAAAGGACAGTAGGCAGATGCTGCTAACCCAGGTCCCTTCGAAAATGAGGTCTGGCTGTCCTACAGCAGCAAGGAGGGCCTGAGCTTCCCACCACTTCCTAGTCACCTCACTAGTGAGTCAGGGAGGTTCACATAGGGATCTATGAATCATTCATTTTGTTGCCTCTTGAACGGGGATGGTTTTCTTGCAGCTTGTTCCCTTTGCACCACCCAAGATTGACTACATGGTGGACGAGCTGTTCACCAGAGGGATTTTCTCGGACGGTGCTGCTCACCTTGTTGACAGCTTGTGAGTAAAACCCCCATTTCAGAGTGGTCCAAGAGACTTGACACTGTATGGTCAGTGGTTGCATCCAGAGTGTTTATATTCTTGTGGGTGCAAACTGAATAATGGGCAGAAAAGAAAAAATTTCTGGCAGGATAAATTTATCATGAGCAGCAGCTAGTGCACAAGAGCAGTTCACACACATGGATAAAGTGGTGCGGTAATAAGATATCATGTGTCAGCAGTGCTGTGGCAACTGGTTTTGTGTGTTTTATTAGTCCATGGCCCGTGGGAAAGATCACACACTACAGAACTACCTACGGAGGTGCGGTGGGTTAGCCCTGGCCAGCAACCAAACACCCACCCAGCCGCTCACTTACTTCAAGGTGAAACGTGCTCAGGGTGGTTCGTGGCCCCACTGCTGCAAAGCACTCCAGAGCCTTTACAGCACTGACAACATAGGTAATAAAGTACTTATTTCTCTAACTTTTGCAGTGAGAATTTACACCTGAGCATCTAAACTCCACGACCATCTCTTGTTCAGGGTTTTGGATTGAAACAGGCAGATTTTGTCTTCCAGCAGCTCCCTCTAAGACAAACCCTGCTTTGGAAGCAGCACTGCTGTTGCTGTAGCTGTGGCACAGATGGCTTGTCCTGACTCCTCCTTCGCTCTCTGCCCTTCCAGCAATGGAGACATCGTGGATCCCAACCTGAAGTCCCAATTCAATACTTACAGGCTTCCTGCTCTGGTGAAGAGGATCTTGGCTATCATTTTAAAACCCATAGTAAGTGTGTGGACATGTCTTGTCTGTGTTATAGCAAATCTGCAAGGTAGGGAAGTTTCCATGTGCAGGGAGGGAGCTGCTCCCCTCTGGGAGTGCTTAGCTGCTTCATCTTAAGTGCCTGATGGGCTTCATAGTGAAATACGCTTAAATACACTTAGTGTCTAAACCCAGGCTGAACTTATCAAGTGGCTCTGACAACCTTTTGTGGGAGTTTTGCATGGGGAGGTCAAAATATGATCTGTTCTCAGGAACCCATGAGCCGTACAGCTCATCCAGTAATGGGCACCAAGAGAATGGATATCACTAGCAAGGATCTAAACAGCATCCCCACATCCAGGAGGTACTCTGCAGGGCTGGCAGTGTGGTCTAGAGACTTATCGGTATGAGTTGTTGTGATTAAATGCATAAATTAATGTGGGAGTAAAACCACTTCATTGGAAACCATATCTATTCTTCAGAGCCACTTCTACTAGGACAAGAAGTGTGCCCCAAAATGCAACTGCATGGTAGCCAGCTTTTTCAGCTGCATTGTTGTTGACTAATCCCAAGCTTTTCTATTCCCTCCAAAAGTACCCACGAATCGCTCGGGATCTCAACGCTCTCTGTGGAGTCGGGTAAGACGCACTGAAGTAGCTCTAGAGAAATGGGATGCATGTGGATGTGTCCACCGGTTCATGAAGGTAGATGCCAGCTCGCTGCGCAAAGCCCTGTCACAGGGCTGTGCAGCACAGGCTGTGTCAGATGAAAATGTGCTGCCTCGGCACCACCTGGGCTTAGCCCAGTGTTTTCCAGGGCTATGTAGCCAGAGGTTGTTTTAAGAGCTCAAGAATCCTCATCATGGCAGGACTAGGATGCCTCCACAGAGATCAGCACAGAGAGATATGGGCTACTTTCGCCATCAGGTAGATTCTGGTACCCAGAGCATCACATGCCAAATTAATGCAGAGGTCTCTGCCTGCGGGTGCTGTGTAGTGTGAAGTACCTGCCCCTCCAAGAGAGACAGACACACCAAACTGGGAGCAAGTGAATTTAGAAGACTGCCATGATCCTTGTCTAGGTGCCAGAGCACCTAGACATGGTGGCATGCTTTTAATGTGAGCTCTTTTGATGTACCTGTAAGCATGTAGGTTACAAAAAAAATCAGCTTGGTGATACTATAGCTCCTTCCCAGAAGGGTCATGCGGTTTCCATAACAATGGGCTGTTTGTGCATTTTGTTAATTGTTTTCTGTTGCCACAGTCCCAAAGCTGATTAATTCTGCCACATTTCCAGGTCTGCCAAAAAACTCTGGGATCAGCATGCAGCAGTGGCGGGAATGTGATTTTTTTTTTTTTTTTTTTTTTTTCCATACTGGATGTAGTGAGAGATCCTTGAAGTTTCTAAGCAATTGCTTTGAGCTCTGTGATGGATTTGGGGTTGGAAATGGATCATGTGGAAATAAAGCAGCTAGGCTTTTCTTTGAAAGCCAAGCTTTGCAAGAAGTGATAAGAGCTCAAGGCAATAGATGTTCATGTGGAGGTCTCTACTTACTGGAGAATGGGGAGAAAGATTATCCTTTGCTTTGCATTTTTGTGCATTTAGTGCTTTGCCTAAGCACTAATAGCATAAGAACAGCCACTAAAGATGAGGTTTCATTTTTTCTTCTTTCTGTCTCGGTGCAAATCCTTCATTTCAGACATTAGGTGCTATTGTCACGAGCTAAAACCATGCTTGAACTATCAAGCAGAGACCTTAGGAGTCAAAAATTGTGGTTGTGAACTCTTTGGCTTAGGTGGGTTTGAAATGAACTCATTTGGGATCAGTAACATAGGACGAAACTGTTCTTCTAGACAGCTGAGTCCAGTGCTATCCACAAACTGATCAGGTTCCTCTTTGAAACCAGTTGAGTTTTATTCTTGCATTTGTTTTTATTGGCTGGCTCCTCACTTCCCTGCTCAGATGCTTGGAAATCTTCATATTTCCTGTGCTGTTTATTCAGTTCCAGTTTTTCCTCATTTTATTCCCGTCCTTGAGCTTAAATGGCACCTCGCCTCTCCGGTATTTTCCGCTGCCTCCCTTGTCCTTGATCTATTTATAGAGAGCAATTGTATCTCCTTTCAGCTGGTGTTTTGCAAGGCTGAAGAAGCTGAGCTGCTTTGGTGTCCTCCCACAAGGCAGGATCTCTGTTCCCTAGGACACCCTCGCAACCCTCCCCAAGAACAAACATGCCCCCACCCTGCAGCATGCAGCCTCCATCAGTGCCAGTCACTCGATGGACATTAGATGCTCACTTGTGGCCGGTCTGACAGATTACAGGGCAGAGGAAAAACTCCTACAAACCTGGCTGGTAGCAGGGCTGATGGGAGTGTTTGGAAGGAAATGGGTTTGATTGGGTTTTTTAGGTGAAAACAGATTCCTCTCTCCTCCCGCAAAACCAAAACCCAACCAAAAAGAAAGCTCTTTAAAAGGTTTGTTGGCCTCAGAGATATTTTGGATTGTTTTTCTTCAGTGAAACCATATTCACATGTTTTCATCTACTGCAAACAAGAGCTGATTCAAAACTTTTGGCTAGCAACCAGCTTTTCTCTCAGAAAAAAAAAAAATCAGGTTAGCTACACTGGTTATATTTCCTGCAAACCTATCTCCTTTGTTGAACTTCCAGCAGGAAGGATCTCAAACTGCAGATGGAAATTGAGGTCAGACTGAAAAATAGCCTCATGGCTGGGGCTTTCGTGAGAGATGTGAAAAACCCTTGTACAGAACACTTGGCATGAGAGAGTTGTGCAGAACAGGGGCCAGACCATGGGACAAATGTGTCCCTGTAACCAGAATACGGCTGCAGAAGCAGCCATACTGTGGTCCATCCATGTCTATTTACTAAGACAAAGTGGAACAGCTCTTCGAGGATGGGTTCATTCATTGCCTGATCTTCAGCAAAGCTGCGGTAAACCAGACCGGATCTCTCCCGGACCTTCAGGACAAGCCTGAAGCTGTGCCTCCTGCCTTGTGGGGGGAAGTCTTCAGGCTTGCCTAGCTGTCTCTTGCTGCTTCTTTTTCTTACCTCTATCCTCATGCAGAATGAAAGAAGGTTTTGTGAAAATATTTGAATTAATGTCTTCTAGATTCTTCTATCAAATTAACCAAAGCTTTTAAGAAATTTGACTTTTTAATCAGCTGGACATAAATCTCTGAAGTATTGTTGATCTCCATTCAATAAAATTTGAAGACACAACTGTTCATAGCAAGGGGTGGGTTAAGGCTCAAAGGAATAACTCTGAAATGCGCACTTACCACTAATGTCTAGGTCTGGGTAGCACATTGTATTCTGACAGGAAACCTGACTGAAGGAACAAAATCCATTGGCTCTTTCAAAGTACAACTCATTTCATTTGATTTTTTTCAGTTGTATCCAAGAAGGTTCTTACCCTCTTTTCCCATGCTGTAGGCATTGATCTGCCACTACAGTCCGACAGATGTTATTTATTATATCTCCTCTTTCCGTCTAGGTTTACTGCTCTGAATTCATTGCTAAATGGAGGAAGCTAAAGCTGGATGTGATTCTTTGTCCTGCGCTGGGGCCAGCCTTTAACCATGGCTACGCTGGGAAACTATTTGGTAATCTCCATTGAGGTGTCTCGGGATGCATCTACAGTGGTATTTGTGGGCAGAGCTGGAGCAAGATATTTTGGTCTCTTGGACATTCCCCAAATCATATGCAGTGCTTGATCTTTCCTCTGGGGAAGAAAGCAAAGGACAGGTCTCCTCTGAGTGGGTCTTCTCATGCCCCCACCTCATCTGAGCTGCAGGTGTTTGGATTATTATAGGGCAGCAATTAGTGGCACGTCTGTCCCAGTCATTCCTGGGTGAGTCCACCTGCATTGTCTGTCCTGTAGAAAGTCCAAGAGCTACTTATCCAGCAAAGAGTGGCTGTGAGGATAGTTGTCAGAGGGGTGGTAGACCTCAATACAAGGCCAGGCTCTTCTGAAGGGGCCTATTTTACATTTCCCAAGACTTTGCAAGTAACAGAAAGGCTCGTTGCCTGTGACTTGCAGAAAAAGACGTTTTTTTTATAGATGTCCAGCTGTCAGGGTCCTCCATCTCTCTAGCAATGGCCCTTTGGGATCCAGAATCCCCAAGATGGTGTTACAGAACTGAACATCTGGATTATCTTGAAGCTGGGATCTTTCCCTGAGACAGATGCAGACTCTGAATCAGATCAAATACTCGTATCTGTCTCTCCCAGAGCAGATCTAACCTCCACCCAACTGGCAGGTGAAGGCACAGGTCTCTCTCTGGTCTCAGCAGCCGTGTGGCCCTCCAACCTCTCCATCAAAAGTCCCTTTGAAACCAGCATATTTTCATGGTCTCTTCAGATCCAGCAACTCCAGTCTACAATTCCTGCAACTCAAATTATAATCTGAAAGTCATTGCTGGCCCAGCACACTAAATTTTGCTATTTTTGCATGCTCTGTGTGATCTTTTCCAGCTGCAACCTCGTATACCAATTTATACAACGTCTTAAACTTCCCTGCTGGGGTGGTGCCAGTCAGCACAGTCACAAGAGCCGACGAGGAAGAACTGAAGCATTACCAAGGGCACTATGGAGACCCATGGGATAAGAGGCTGAAAGAGGTCAGTGAAGAAAGACCTTTAAGACTTAGCAGAAGGTTATGACATTCACAGTGACACCTCTGGCACATTGTCCCAACCCTTCTCTACATCTTCCGATGAGAGTGGAAGCTTGTTTAGTAATGCAGCTTGCATACATCATGTTACTGCCCTACATGTGGTGCAGTGAGGCTGGTGTACATCAGGCTGACAACTGTCCCCTTGCCTATCTTTCTTGGTCTTCTCTTCCTATAATATCAAAAGACAGTGTTCTCTCTTGTGCCTCCCCAGGTGCTCTGACTCAGCACCATGCTTAATTTTTGCAGGCTGTGGAAGGAGCCGTGGGTCTGCCGGTGGCTGTCCAATGTGTGGCTCTGCCATGGCAGGAGGAGCTGTGCCTTCGCTTCATGAAGGAGGTGGAGACGCTTGCCCATGGCACGAAGAGAAATGTGTGATTTCTGGGAACTCGCCTTCACTGTGATGACTTTTCATTCCCTGCCCTTCACTCCAGCCACCTTCTACCTGATGTACAAAGCAAAGTAGATAGTGGCCTGCAGACTCTGAACCACTATTTCAATAAATTGGCAGTAAATGCTGTTTAAAAGTAGCCAGCAAAAAACTCACGTCTGTCCAAATTGTCCTTCTTTGTTAGAGTTAAACTGAGTCAAAAAACAAAAGAAAGGAATGAGAGTTAATGCTGGACCAAAGGAGTCCAATAACTATGGTATAACGATATCTGCTGCATGATATGAGACCCAAGAGCTGTTTACCCCAGTATTTTACTTCCAGCAGTGGGTAGGAGCAGATGTTTGTGGGAGTGTATAACATGGTAAGTGCAGGATTCCCTCTCTGGCTGTGCCGTTGGTTGGCTGAGAGACTTTTTGGCAAAAACTTGCAGTCAGCCCATCATTTTTAATAGCTGCCAAGAAAGCTCTCCTTCATGAACTTGTTGGGCCCTTTCCTGAACTCATTTACTCTCTTGATCTCCACACCATCTGGTGCAGTGGGCTCTGCAGTTTAATTACGCAGTAAGTAGTGGAAAGATTCATTTTCTTTGTTTAACCATAAGCTGTGAGAAATGGTAACTGGTCTGTCTTCACTCCTGTTCCTCATTGTTTCTCCCAGTTAAGCAACGGGAAAAGAAGGTTGGAGGTTTTTTATTGCCTATAAGCTCTTGAGGGAAACCTGAGTTTAAGCATTTCTGTGGCTATGTTTAGACCATTGGCACTGTTTGGTACTTCCAACCTCACTGTGACAAACGTGTGCTGTTTCTCGACCCGTCCTTTGCTCTCAAGGTGGAGGAAGAGGCTGGAAGGGAAGGTGGGGGTGACGGAGGAGACTGAAATGCTTTGAATAAGCAAGTGTGCCTTGAAACAAGGCATCAACGTCAGCAATGATCCATGCCTTCTTCAAGCCTCCATATCTCTCCAGGCACTGGGGTTGGAGGCAGTGTTTCTCCAACAGGAGGAGAGATGCACAAGACCAAGGGACAACACCTCCCTTGTTATTTGTCTTCCTCCCTGAGGCTGCACAGGGATGCTGCAGTCATCCAGCAGCCTCGCATGGTGATTAGCAGGTCTGAGTCACAGAGTCCTGGATCCTCAGCCTGACTTGGCCGTCCTGTGTTAAGCACGGAGCAGGGAGAAGGTCTATGGCCAGCCCTGCTCCCAGAAGATGCTGTGCCTCTGCAGGACTGCTGCTAGGTGACTCCAGCCACAGAGCTCCTGCCTGGTGGGAGTCTGCCAAACAACTCGGACTATCTCAGGCCAGGAGCAAAGGATTTTTAGCTGTCCTCTCATAGGGAAGATGGGAGCTCACCATTAAACAGATAACCTGCCCTGGCTAGATCTGAGCATGTACAGACCTTGTTTTGCAAGGAAAGGGTAGTGTCCTTTGCTTGTGCACTCCACCATATCTTTGCAAGGCTGAATGAAGTGAAAGGGTCCTGTTTCTAAAAGGAATTTCCCCATGCATACTTGCACTCTGCGTTCCAGCTACTTTTTGTGGGTGGCTCTGGAAGGAATTTACTGTTCCTTCCACTTTCCCCTCTCCTGCCTCCAGCCAGTCATTAGATCTCAGGATTCCATGGCATTAGCTCCCAGGTCCTGGCACCCAAACGGAAGTTCTCACTGTGCTCCAGCAGAAGCTGAAGCAGAGTGCATGGGTGCTCTCAGCCCTGATCTGCAGCTCAGCCAAAGCTCTCCTGGCACTGAAGTGGATGAGGTGGAGACATGTCCAGAAGATGGACGAGGCCTGAGGAAAACGACATACAGGTTTGGACCAGATGTAGGGATCTGTCCAGCAATTTAAAGAGCAGGTAAGTGCCTCAGCTTGACAGAGAGCAAAGCACTTTCCAGAACAAAAAGTCCTGCTCAAGACAGGTTGTCCATGATGTCAGTTGGCATTACTGCATAAATGTGGGGGAAAAGGGGAAAGGGTGATGCTGAAAGCAGTCTGGTGACCTCAAGTGCTGAAACTCAAGGAGAGAAAGGCGTTTAGTAGGGGATAACTTTAGGCTTGCAGGAGACTTCTTCCTCTAGATCTCGTCCCACACCCACCAGCACAGAGTCGCTGTGTTTCAAACCCTTCTGTGGCTCTTTCACCATAAGACCTTGGCTCAGGCTGTGCAGCCCTTGCAGACCTGCACCCTGTGTTTGCAGAGTGCTTCTCCAGCTGCCTGGCACTGAGCGAAGTCCAGGCTTTGGTCTGTCTTGGAGAATTATGTAGAAATGCTGCTTGGACCAAAAGGACTTTGTTTCTACTAGTTTCTCTCATCTCCAGCACAATATCCTGGCTGCAGTCTTTGCTTTGGTCTTTTTTCCTCCTTCCTCCTGATTTAAATAAGAATTTACATTTGCTCTGCTCAACCCATGCTTCATTCTATGGCCATATAAGTAACTGAGCAAGGTTGAGCAATTGAATCATCAGACAATCCAGCGTTTAAATTTGTTTTTACTTGATTTTGCAGGGTTTTTTCTTTAGTTTGCAGGTTAGACTTTGTATAGCCACAACATCTGGAGCAAATAAAGCTATCTAGAAGAACTGATATCAGCAGAACACAAGTTGTTAGGGCAGGTCAATTGGCCTCTTATCCAAAGCAAACAGAGCTCTCTGGTGTAACAGAAAGTGGCAGAGGGCATTAGAGACGTGAACATCCCCAGGATCCCAGACATTCATTTCAAACAAGTTTCAAGGGAGGAGGCAGTAGACGTAGCTAAAAGAATATGTTTTAAAAAAATAGGTGAAATGAAACACCTTGACACAGCAAGGCTCATGCTTGAAACACAAAAATGCAAGAATTAGGGTTGGTACATCTTTCACCCTGAAACAGCTGTTATCTGCACAAATCCTCCTCTCTCCAAGCACGATCTCAATCTGCTTTTTTCTTGTTTTTGTTTGTTTGTTTGTTTGTTTTTCCTTTTTTATTTCTTTTTCTTTTTTTTTTTTCCTCCTGTTACTGCCCAACTTCCTGCTGTAAGCTTTGTGCCCAGCCATGGAGCAGCTGCGAACATCCCAGTCCTTTACCATCAGGACACTGAAGTCTCTGTCGTTGCTCAGTGGGAACAAACTTGTGCAAGACACCAGCCATGAGGGAAGAAGTAGGAATGTTCCTGGACTTCTGGTGAAGAACTAACAGCTCTCTGCAGCACTTTTGCTGATGGTGTCTCTACCTTGCTGGAGAAGTTGTAAGTAGGATCTGTATAACCCACTTGGCTGTGGTAAGGCCCAAGGGAAATAGTGCAATACCCACAAAAGTGGGAAAGATGTAGGGATGGTCAGGAAAAAAAGCAGTCCCTGCTGTCAGAGATGTGAGAGTTGGTATAGGAGGTTTCTCTCCCCATCCTAGTGCAATTTATTGAGTGAGAGCCAACAGGGTCCTGGCTGAGCAATGGGAAAAGGGATTGATAGAAACAGACTCTCAGCTCTCAACTGATGTCCTTTGTTGTTGGAAAGGTGCAGACGAAGAAGTGACAAGTTTCTTACCAGCTGTTATGTTCTGCGAGTGTTGGTGGAGTTGGACTGGAGTAGAGGAAAATCTCATGCTTCCAATAGATATTCCAGGCTGAAATGAGTCAGAAACTGGAGAGTTCCCAGAAAACATTTATTTAGCCCTCTGAGCTAACTAGAACAACTTCTCCAGAGGGGACCAGCCCATTTTACTATGATTTCAGCATTTTATGAAACATCTTTAAAATTCTTTCAGAGCAGTGTAGTTAACGTACCTCATTTTGTAAATTGTTTTGAAAAAGCACATCACAGTGTTTGGTTCCAAAAACATGAAAATGAGACACAACTATCAGGGCTTATTCTTCATAATTTTAGTCAAAATGGAGTCAAAGCTGACTTAAAAATAATTATTACCAATTTAGAGGGAAGACAGTTTAATTACAGAAAATTTCTGTTAAAACCTAGCCAGCTTGAGAGCTGAAGGTGTTGGATGGAGCGTGATGACAGCAAGTCAATGCAGTTTTGCTTTTGTAAGCAAAGACAGTGGTGAGGACAAGAGTGGACTGTCTGAGTTGGTCTAACTGCCTTTTTTCTGTAACGGTCCAAAGTGAAGGAGATGTCGTGGATGCTACAACGAAATCCCAGATGAGCTGCTACAGGCTGACTCTTCTTGTGAAAAGGGTCTTGACTCTCATCTGAACTCCGTTGGTGAGTTTGATTGATTCAGGCAAGAAAAACGTTGCAAAAACTTTGCACTTGGCGTTGGTTGGTTGGTGCACACCAGTGCAATGTGGAGGAGCGAACACTGACCTGAGTGTCGGGCAAGTCTGTCTCCTCTGCTACGGACTTGAGATTTGACTTGGGACATCCCTTTGCTTCCCTGCCTTGGTTTCCCTCTGGGGACAGCGGTCTCGTTCTCAGCAGACGTTTTTCACAAGCACTCCTTGCTCCCCTTTGCCTCGGTGTGGGTCCACACAAAGCCACCCACCGTGACCCAGCCCGTCTGCCTCTGTGTAGCTCATCCCCTCTGCGGCAGGGACTCTTTCATTTCATATGGCTCTTGAAGTGTCTCAGCAGGTCTACTTGGAGTGTGCGAAATAGGCTTGGATTTTGAAACCATTCCAGTCCTGAGGGTGGGTCCAGCCTTCACCCCCTCCAGTCGCTCCCCGCTGCCTGTGTCCCTGCTGTAGGCTGCAGCAGGAGCCCAGGGGCTGCCCGTGGTCTTGCGGTGGGTGGGAGGGGGAGCCATACCTCCGGTTCATGGAGGAGGTGGAGATGCTCGCCCATTGATAGGGAAAGGGGCTTCCTCAGCAGCATCCGGCCACTTGGAAACACAGCTGTGCCTGCTGATAAATGTGCCCTTTGAAACGCCAAGTCAGCCCGGACACAGCTGGCTCTGCCTCTGTTAAACATTTGCCAAGTGTCTAAAGGGCAGGATCAGAACACAGGTCCTAGTGTGCAGGCAGATGTGGGAAGCCAATGCCCTCACGCTTCCCAGCATGGGCGA